TGCGAACCATAACAAACCTGCTAAGGGTAGAATCGAAAAATTCATCAGATTGGCCGAGCAAGCTTTGGAAAATTCAGTTAGTAATTAACACCACTAAACAAAAAACAACCGGTTGTTCCCCCTTTAAGTTAGTATTTGGCCAAGAGGGACAAACCCCTCAAATCCGTACAGTTTTAACAGACCTACCTATCTCTGAAACCACTAAAAACCCAATTGACTCCATAACCATTCTTAACAAAATGAAGCAAAACGCCGAAAGACAAATTGCTTCCCTCAATAAAAAGCGTAGGAATAATCAGTCATTCAAAGTTTGTGATGCTATCTTGTTGAGCCGAGGTCAAAGGTCAGAGAAATTCGCATGTGAATTTGTGGGACCTTATGTCATCAAACAACTATTGGCTAACGACCGATACTCAATTCAGAAATTGGGCGCGAAAATTACCCTTAAGTGCTCAAAGGACCAGTTACGCCACTGGCCAATCGATTGGACTCCTGAGGATTTTCAGAATCTGATAGAATTAAATAAACTAAACTAAATAAAACTAATTCACTTACAAATAACCCATCGCAAATACGTCATAGTATTTCCATTGTGTTATTCATTAAATTGGCAGCGAAAAACTTAAAAATGACCCATCGTAAATATGTGCATACTGCAATATTTCCATCGTGTCATTCGAAAAACTTAAAAATGACCCATCGTAAATATGTGCATACTGCAATATTTCCATCGTGTCATTCGAAAAACTTAAAAATGACCCATCGTAAATATGTGCATACTGCAATATTTCCATCGTGTCATTCGAAAAACGTTAAATTCCCATCGTGAATGTGTGCATATTGCCATTCAGTGAATTGTCGTTATAAATAAAAATTAAACTGTTGACGCCATAATAGTCCAAGTAATGTGTTTTTTTTCTTTTGCTCATTTCAGCAACTAACAAGGAGGTAGTCAAGTGCGCTAAACCTCAATCCGAGGCCTCTTAAATTCGAGGAAGTTTACCTGAGGTTACGAGAGAAAAAACAAAATATTCATAACAAGTTTTTAATTACTAATTAATTTTGTTTGTGTTTTTGTTACTCATTATATATGTATTTTTAGCACATATTTTAGTGAAAAATAAATGTTTTACTATTTGCATGTTCAAGATTTCTTATGTTTCTAAATCTTCATTCCGAGAGCGGAATGGTGTCAGTTTGGCCGTGTTAGATTACATTTAAAATATTTAAATGTGGCGCTCTTATAAACATCCGGTCGCTCATGCATGTGCGCCAATTAAAAACACAGGTGGTGCGCAAAGCAAAGCGCATCGCGTGGCAGTCACTGCCTGACATCGACGCGGAGTGGTTTTGTTGATAAAAATCTAACAGACTAAATCTAGACTAAGTCTATATGAGAAATTTCTTTCCCACATGACAAAGAACGTTTTAGAAACATTTTGTTACATTCTCAAAAAGGTCACATTTTGAACGTTTAAAATTTACGTCTCAATCTTGTTTCATAGACAGTAAATATGTGCTCTCTTTTTAAATGTGTCCCATAAATGTTTCTCGGACGTCCCGATTTCTACTTGCCCTAATCAACATTTATGAGCCATTAATTTTGTGACGTTATGGGACTGTCACCACATATACATCAACAAAACAGTAATATCGTTATGTTTAAAATGTGATGTCTATAAAACAAAATTAAATGTTCATCATTGTGACAATACTGAATTTACGTTAATTAAACAGTTCATTCTTGACGTTAAGATTAGGATGTCTCTAACACGAAATTATACGCTTGTTATTGGAATGTTATTATATTAACTTTAATAAAACCGTAAATTCGAGACGGGTCAGTCTACATATTGCAACGACAGGTGGTTATCGTCGCATTTTTCTAATTTTTAATTTAAATTAGTGTGTTGGTGAGAAATATTAAATACAGTGTAAGTGCTCTTGGTTAGATTGAAGGTTGTATAATTAAACATAAAAAAATATAGATAATTTTCATTAATTTTTCAAAAATAATTAGTAGGTACTTAAGTATTATAAAATATTTTAAAATTGTAATTAGTTGAATGCATAACTATTCATATTTAATTAGGTAAATAGTAAAAATATTTTTGTCGTTCCCTTCTTCCACAGATAGACAAAATCAATTTGTCTCTTACAAAAATCAAGGTTAAAAAGTACCTACCTACTTATAAAGGGTGTCCACTTAAGAGCGCTCTAACTTTAAAATGAAATAAAGCAAACTACACTTAAGATATTAGGAAAAAAATATATTTATTTAAAAGAACATCCTATGGCATTAATTATGAAAAATAACATCTTTCAAATGCCCCCCACGGCTGCGCTCCACAGCGCGCATTCTGCAGGTCAAATTTTCTATCACTTTTTCGCATATTTCGGGTTCGATTTCATTTATTATACGAATAATGTTGGCCTTTAGTGCTTTAATTGTTCGTGGCTTATTCACGTACACAAGGGACTTTACGTAGCCCCACAAAAAAAGTCCAGCGGCGTTAGGTCGGATGATCTTGTTGGCAACTGGATATCGCCGCCGCGTGAAATGACGCCGTTGAAACGTTTGGCGAATTAAACATTGATTTTGTTGGTAAATTTGAATAATTTGAATACGTTGAGCAACCGTGTAACGCTCCATTATCAAATGTCATAATATGCCAACAAAATTTCAAAATATTTGACAGCTGTGTCTGTACTGACTTAGCCATAGCTGCCTATCAAACATCGAGCGTACCTAATTGGACACCCTTTACCTATATAGGTATACCTATATAGGTATACAGCAGTTTCAATCATTCATGTTCACAATTAAGTAATAGTAATAGTAATAGTAATAGTAATTAGTACTATTTTTGTAGGAGAAACAGCGACAAATGAAGTTTTTCTATTTGTGGAAGAAGGAAAGGGCAAAAGACGCGTTGCCGTTGAGGCTTGGAGCCGGTAAACGGTAGCCATTTGCTTTGTTTTGTTTTTATACTTGTGGATTCTAGGTAGTTTATAAATAATGTTCCTTTTATTTTGTTTGTTGTTAGTTTTTAATTTATTTTATATTATTCTTTTTAAGAGTTTATATATATTAGCTAATATATACCTAGGTATTTATGTTATTTTAAATTATATGAATAAAAATTTATTTTATTAAGACGTTTTTTCATTACATCCAGGTGATTTTACCCCATGTAACATTTTTTCCGATATATAAATGTTACAATAGAAACGTAATTGTAGAGTACAGAAATTGACGTCATAAAATCTGCTAATTCATCACAGTACAGCAACGTTAATTTTGTGACGTAACAATGTTACATCTTTGAAGGCGGACATTAGCAGTCCCCATGACGTTATTAGTACGTTTATGTTACATTAACGATAATGTAACAATGTCACAAGGGACGTTTTTGGAACGTTTAGGTTGCAAGTTCTTGCCATGTGGGAAGGACCCTTATATTCTTGTATATCCTTTTATAATAAACTTCCAGAAGATATAAAAAGAATAAAAACAATACAAGTTTTTAAAACCACCCTTTATGATTATATTTGTGAAATGGAACCATATGCTTTAAGTGATTTTACTATGTAAATTTTTCGGTCATGATATCCAACTTTTGTTTGCATTCTTTGACTAGTTTCTATTTACTGTTTGTCTGTTTACTGTAACTTTAAAACATTATTTTTGAAATAAACTTTATTATTATTATTATTAAAAAATTATAGGAACTTGACATATTATTTTTGTGTGTTCTACACCCTGTAGGTATATATAAAATTCTGCATTTTGGAATGATGTGCATATTATATATATTATATAATATTATTTAAATAATAAATTAGGTACCTAATAGTATAATATGTATCAAGTTTGATAAACGCTATTTTATACACGAAATTAATTTGGGCACGAGCGAGCTTGCGAGCGAGTGCTTAAGTTAATGAGTGTATAGAAAAGTTTATAAACGAGGTGCATACTATACTTTTTCTACGACAAATACTTATTATTATCTTAAAATGATTTAAATCAAAAATTTGTGTAGAGCGCCATCTATGAAACAACAGGGGAAACTGTCAAGTGTCACATTTTTACATTTTATAAACACAATTATAAAGGTTATAAATCGAAATGTATCTTGAAAATTGACAGTTTTTCACAGTGAAAGTAAAGTAAATGTTTTATGAGGACTTTACAGTAGAGTCCGTGCCCGAATTTAAGTTATAGTTTACTGCCGGCGAAATTAAAAGGTCAGTACAATGTTCATATAAACTTTTCAAATATTGGCGTTGAGAAACTATTTAATATTTTTGTATTTTTGTATTGAGATAATAAAATAATTTTCACATTTAGTATTATTTTACAAGAAAGGCACTTTATTTTAACGATTGTATGACATTTGACAACTGTCAACTAACTTAAAACTAACTTCAGCCCGTGACTAAAGCGCCGTAAAGCCACAACTTGTCAATGTGTATTTAAAAGGTCACTTAGTGTCATGGAAACATGTACGATAAAGAGCGTTTTAAAGGTGGGAGTGGAAAAACGATTTTTTTTTCTTGACCCTGCCTTGCGCCTGCCGCGGTCTTTTCCGCTTTTGGTGGATTTTTTTTGGCTTTGTCACGGATTTTGACATTTTTGAAGTGGTCACTTTATTTATGGACAACTTACCTTACTTCCGGTTATCTCTTTTCTAGTCATTTTGACTGCGAAAGCAAAAATGCTCATTATTGTATCTTACCTATTTATACAAGAACAACCAAATTATAATGTTCGAAATTCCGTGTCCTCCACTGTACATGCATCTAATAATCTTTTATTAGATTTTATTTTCTTAAATTAAATTTTAAAATTGCGAAAAATTTATTTAACTCAAAACTTTTGAGTTAAAACTTGTAGCTCAAAAGTTTTTAGTTATATGAATTGTATTAATAAATTTTAAGAAAATAAAATCTAATAAGATTGGTAGAACTTTGATAACCGAACATAGGCAACTCAGTATACATCGCTCACCTGACGTTTTGAGGTTATGTGCAAATGTTTAGTTGCAAGTGTTTAACTTTTCGTGTTTCAATTTAATTACGGAATAATTTTAAAAATAAAAATGAACTTTTTAAGAAAATGTATTCAAAATGTTCCCCAAATTAAGTCCAGTTTGGTGTCGAACGTACAAAATAGGAATTTATTGGACATAACCTCTCTAACTAGTAGGTTATCAGGACTTAATATGCAAGGTATCTATTAATTTTATATTTATAAGACTTGTTTTACGTATTTTGTGCAAAAAGTAAGGAATTACTCGCAAATTGGCTACACTGGTTGAAATCTGTGTTTAAAAAATGAAGATCGGTATGTGCAATTGCATTGACACCATCGAAATCTTATTTTAATAATAAATTATAATTTACTGTTGTAATCATCACACGCGCATACTACTTATAGAATATCTAGGGCCTAGGTAATATTTATGCCGTTGCTTTTATTACTACATAATGTACTTACCTAGTCTACATTATTTCTTATGTTGCGATTAATATTAAATATTATTTGTGCTGCCATAAAAAGCTTATTTTGTTGGCTTTTTATGCAGCAGAAAAAATAAAAATATTTAATTTTATATGTTATGATTCATATCATAAAATTTAATAATAGGAGTTTATATAAACATTGAGTAAAAAGTAGGTATTTATCAATTAACGGTATAGGTAAGCATTGATTCAACGGTATAAATAGAAATACCAAAATATCCGATGTTTTAAATATAATATTATATATGGGGCAAAACACCTCAAGTGTTCCCACCTAAAAATGATGTTTTCTCCGATTTTAACAAAACTTTGCCAAATCATTGTCCTATTGGACTACCTTAATTTTCCAAATGGGGGGCAAAAAGGATTAGCGGGTTGCAGAGATACAGGGGCCTGAAAATATACTTTTTTCTCGTGCCCTTGAAAGACGTCGAAATATTTATATATTATATCACGAGAACTATGAATTTAATCGGTTAAACTAGGCTCAGTAGTTTTTTTGTTTGGTTTTTGTTGGAAAATGTTGAATGCAAAATAATTTAATAAAATCACGAGACCGCGTAGCGGTCGAGGGGTTTTATTTTTAATTATTTTGCATGAAACTATTTTCCAAAAAGAAAAATCAAATAAAAAACTTACTGAGCATAGTTTGACAGATTAAATTTATAGGTTGAGTGATATACGTCTAGATTATTTCTCGAATTAAAGGAAACTATTTGACAATTCATAAAATCTGACGTATGTGTCAAAATTTATAAATATTTTTTTAAAGAAAATTCCATTTAAGTTATGTAATAAGTAATAATTGATATTTCGTAAACTAGATAACTTATTTTTTATTGTTTTTTAAAAAATGTTTATTAAAACTTGTAAATAACACCATAAAATCGTAAACAAAAATCCTTTATGGAGGCTAAAATTTAATCGCCGTTAAATAGTTCTAGTGATTTAATCGCTTATTTAAACGAAATTTATTCGAAAATTCAAGGCTTTTGATTGGTTCATATTATAATGAGGGAAATAATCATGTATATAATAATTTTTTTTTACATTGATAATCAACATATCGTATAGCATTTTTTTCACGCTTTACGATAAAAATGGTCTCAAAAGCGAGAAAAAAAATGTTTGGTTATAAAAAAACGATTTTAAAAATATATTTGTTTTTTTCTCGAAATGCGACACATTTGATTTTTTTTAAATTAAAATAAAAAGAAAGCTTTTTCAATTCCCTAAATTTTGATTTAATATGAAGATGGGATTCCAAGAATAAGTCGAAAAAAATAAGGGTTGAAGCGCGTAGGGACCGTGCGGCGAGCAGCTACTATAGTATACCTATTGCAGCGGTGCTCGGTCTACTACTTAGTGGAAGAATTGGAGAGGGTCAATACAACTTTTAAAATTATTTTTATATAGAAATAAATGTATTTTTCGATGTGTTTAAGTCAAAACAGCACAAGCGCCAATTTTTTTTTTTTTTTAGAAGAAGGTCGATAGAGAATTTAATTCTCTATCGACCTGCAGGTACATGTACCTACTTCTAACAAATTTAAAATTTTTGGCGCTTGTGTCGTTTTGCCCTAAACTCATCGATTTTATTGCAATAGTTCAAATTAATAGCAATTAAAACCCATGTTTTGGTTTTTGTAGTCGAAAAAGAAAAATGTAGAAAGTAATAAGTTGCTCTTACTCTGAATAAATTACACTTGCACAAGCGCCAAATTTATTTTTTTTTAGAAGAAGGTCGATAGAGAATTTAATTCTCTATCGACCTGCAGGTACATGTACCTACTTCTAACAAATTTAAAATTTTTGGCGCTTGTGTCGTTTTGCCCTAAACTCATCGATTTTATTGCAATAGTTCAAATTAATAGCAATTAAAACCCATGTTTTGGTTTTTGTAGTCGAAAAAGAAAAATGTAGAAAGTAATAAGTTGCTCTTACTCTGAATAAATTACACTTGCACGTAAATGTAAATAAGTTCTACTATTTAATGCAATTTCAAGTGTCTCACAATAAAAATAAACATTTTTCATGTAAACTTTTTATTGAACATTTTACCTATTTTTTATTTTTGGGAAAAATATCATATTCGTTAGCAAACGATATTTTTTTTAAGTACAATTAAGAAAAAAACAGCAAAAAACGATGAACTAAAACTAAAATTTTCTTTGAAATGTATTCCAATTTGGAATTTTCATACAATTTGTTTTTTGACTTGTACCATTATATCCTTTCTTTTAACATTTGCACATTTTTTTAATAAAACGCTGATTTGAAGCTTATTTGTTATTAAGAAAATCAAGCTGTCCAACATGTGATGGGATAGTATTGCTATCTCGGTAACGGTTATAGTTGGAATAGGGCATCAAGAGTTCAAAAGTTGCGTAATTACATGCCTTTTAATATGGCATAGAAGATTGCAAAAAAAATCAGCTGTTCTCAAAATATTAAAAAAAACTAAAAATCGGTTAAACTTATTATCGCTATAACTTTTTTATTTCTAGGAATTTAAAAAAAAATGAAAGGTTTACATTAAAAGTTTTAATGTTTTAATTTAAAACATACAAAATTACATACATTTTGATCCAATTTGTGTATTTTTACGCCAACTAGATTTTGAGATACGGCTACTATCTTTTGTTTTTCCTATGGCCGCCATATTGGATTTTTGCATGAAAAAATTAAAGAATTTAACTTTGTATCATACATGGTACTTTAGCCAAAAATAAATCCATTAAAATCAACTTTTTATTTTTAACACACTAACTGTCAAGTTGTCATAAAAAGAAACAATAAAAGAAGTTAAAAATTCTGTAACACGCCTATCTCAATGTGCTATTAAAAATTATTTAAGACACTTAGGGGAAGGTCATCCACGAGGTCTCGTAGGGTATTTCTTAGCATATCCAAATACCTTTCCCCTGTTAAATGCTCCTAAAAAAAGATAGGCCCCACTACACTGGAATCCAATACCCCGAGCCAAACATTTATACCGAACCTCTCCTGAAATGCAGTTTCTCGGTGCAATAGTGGATGTTTCTGTTAAACCATCCGTTATTATAGAATCTGCTTTCGTCGCTCCACAGATTTTTTTTTTTTTGCAACCTGTCGCTTTTTTCTTAATAACCACCGACAAAAATGTTTCTTTTATTATAATCCAAGGGCTTCAAATGTTGTACTTTCCTGTAGCGATAAGGTCTGTACTTGTGTCTTTTTAAAATTGTTCTTCCCCCCTCTAGCGTTCCATAATACTTGAATGACCCTTTAGGAGACATCCCTTAGTTACATGAGGTGAGGAGTTAAATTTTTCTTTCTAAAATCATTATAAGTGCTTGGAAAGTTTAAACATATATTTCTGAAACAAATAAATATCGTCATTTATGTGCAAAATTATAATTTTTATGTAAAAAAAAATGTTTACTTATTACCGGAAAAATCGAGAGAACGAGAGAGATCGAGAGAAACGAGAAATTCCCAAACAAGAGAGGGCATTCTCTCGTCTCTACTCGAGCCTTTTTTAGAAAGAAAATCGCCCTCTCGTCTCGTCTCGTCGAGACGTGACGACACGAGAGGCGAGCATCACTACTCACAATAATAGCCATTTTCCAAAAATACAGCAAAATGATCAGCGTTTTATTTAAATACAAAAAATAACATAATGATATGGGTTGAAAAACAAAATTTTTAGTACATATCGATGAGTTTTTGCCAAAGTATCGCAAGTAACATAACTCAAATTTCGGGAATTGAAAACATTTTCTATTTTAAAGCATTTAAAACATTTAGACTATATTTAATTTAAAACAGACTTTAAGACAATTGAAAACATTTTCTATTTTAAAGCATTTAAAACATTTAGACTATATTTAATTTAAAACAGACTTTAAGACAAAAAATGTTTTCGATTCCCTAAATTTAAGTTATGTTGCTTGCGATACTTTGGCAGAAACTCATCGATATAATTATCCGCCTCAATTTTGTGTTTGTTGTTTTGAGGTTTTCTTGTATACTTAATATCGCCTAAACGAAAAATGCAAATTATTAAAATAATAAAAACAATCACAATAAATAAATAAATCCATAAACTAGTAAAAAAATCATGAAAATCGAATGAACATTAAAATTAGCTAAAATTTTAGTTTGGCGAAATTTTGTGTTAGAGGGTGTATTTTAATTTTAAGAAACGGCTTCCCTGCCGCATAGTTGAAAAGGTAATATAATTTTCTATTAAGTTATTTTTATGGTTTAGAAGTTACCGATCTATTAAGTGCAACTTAAGTTGGATTATAGTCTCCTGAACTGTATATGGAAAATGATTTTCAAAACTCAAAATCTCCCCTTCTGTTCCCAAGTAACTTTTTCTGTAATTTAAGATTGGCAAGTTTAAGTTGAAATGTAATCATTGTCATTAATAGAATTTTTTCAAAATTGACTATTTTGCCAATATAAATGTAAAATCTTGAATACTTTTCATTAAGGTAGTATCTCCATTTGAAGATTTCCATAGAATGTCTTCAAAATTTAATATATCATTTTGTGAGGCATCAGACACATTCACAAATAATTTTAACGGCACAAATTCGAAGAAAAAGTTTTTTAAAGCTCGCTCGTGACATTTCCATAAAAAATAAACTATAATAAACAATTTTTAACCTATCAACATGATCCTTTGTTTCTTAAGTTTTGAAACGAATTTTTAAAAT